CTTCCTCTCCTTTTTGCCACTGGCCTGGTCTCTTTTTCCCCCCCCCCGCAGTCACTGCATACAGCAGATTCTAGAAAGCGTAAATCATTGCCACGTAAACGGCATAGTGCACAGGGACCTGAAGGTTAGTGAGCTCTGACGGAGTCGGTAAAAAGACGCAGGCCTGACCACCGTTAGCTCCTTTAGCTCCTTTGGCTCCTCGCTTCTCCACTGCCTGACCAGTCGGCCACCTAATGCCAGCGCATGCAGCACACGTGCACAGCCACGTTCTGACCCGCTGACCAGCTGAGACCGGGAGGGCGGAGGTGACCTGAAAGTGGACCCTCATTTTATAAGGCACCCAGAGGAAAACCTTTTTGCTCAGGATAGTCTTTTCTTTGTATCTCAAGGCAGTACGGAGATCTCAATTGAATATCTTTATGAGATTTTCTTCGATCTGAATTGTGTATCTTTTTGAGATCACCTCAATCTGAATTATTGCTCCTAAACCCCCCCCTTAGGAGCAAAATTGAGATATTGTGAGAATGACTTTTTGAGACTTGTAGGAGAAAATGATAGTCATAGATAAGATCTCATCATTGCCTCTTTTCTATTTCATTCATGTCTTGCTTATTGCTCCTAAAAAGCCGGTTGGAGCACTAAAGAGTTAAAATACAGATCTCAATTGCCTGTCTTCTTGAGATCACCTCAATCTGAATTATTGCTCCTAAATCACACCTTGGAGAAAAACTGAGATCATAGGAGATCTCAGGATTCCATCTTTATGATCTCATTCATGTCTTACTTATTGCTCCTAAAAAGCCAGGAGGAGCACTAAAGAGTTGTAAGACGGAGCTCAATTGCTTCTCTTCTGGAGATCACCTCAATCTGAATTATTGCTCCTAAACCCCTCCCCTTAGGAGAAAAACTGAGATAGTGTCAGAATGAAATGGAGCCAACTTTTTCAGAGGCTTTTTTAAAAGGTGGATTTTGTATTATTAGTGGGAAGAGATTCCATTTTGAATCCATTTCATGCAGAAATAAGAGGGTGAAAGTGTGCATGAGCGTGGAAAAAAGCACGTGTCCTCCTGCCTCTCTCCAGCTGGTCAGGACCTAACACCTCTTCTGTTTTGAGACCTGAGCAGAGCGCTGACCATGTGCGCGCGCACGTGGAAACCATAACAGCTTTGCTGCTAATATTTCCGCCTATGACGCGTGCAGAAATGCGATTCTGCCGTGGTTTATTTGACTAAACGGCGCCTGATTTTAAGCCCCTGCGGCTGCCACACTGCCCGCATGGTCAGCGGAAGTGGTGGAGAAAGTACTCATACAATGTACTTAAGTAAAACTACAAATACACAAAAGACAAAAATGTACTCAAGTAAAAGTCAAAGTACCACATTATTGTTTTACTTAAGTAAAAGTAAGAAAGTACAAGCTTTTAAAACTACTTAAGTATTAAAAGTAAAAGTACTTGCCAACCATAACACCTAACGGCTTATATAATGTCATTAAGTGTACCTATCGTATTTAGT